GGATGGCAATCCTCATTATCAGACAAATTAGATATTAAACCAAAGACTGTAATAAGAGATGAAGAAGGACAGTATATCATAACTAAAGGGTCTACCCAACAAGATCTAAACATTGTAAATATTTATCCCCTTAACATGGGAGCAGCCGATTATATAAACCAATTTATAAGAAAATTAAAGAAACCCATCGATAATAATACAATAATAGTAAAGAACTAAAATACCCCATTCATGGCAAAGGACAGATCATCTAAGCAGAAGATCAACAAGGAAACAAGGGCTTTGAATGACACACTGGATCAGATGGACTTCACAGATATGTTCAGAGTATTTCATCCTAAAGCAACAGAATACACATTCTTCTCGGGTGCACATGGAACATTCTCATGTACACAATAGAATACATACTTGTTCACAAATCAGGTCTCAACTGGTACCTAAAGACTGTGATCATTCCCTGCATATTCTCAGACCACAGTGCTTTGAAATTGGAACTCAATCACAAGAGGAAATTTGGAAAGAACTCAAATACATGGAGGCTAAAGAGCATCCTACTAAAGAATGAATGGGTCACCTGGGACATTAGAGAATTTAAAAAATTCAGGGAAACAAATGAAAATGAAAACACAACTGTTCAAAACCACTGGGACACAGCAAAGGTGATCATAAGAGGGATGTATATAGCAATACAAGCCTTTCTCAAGAAACAAGAAAAGTCTCATATATACAAGTTAACCTTACACCTAAAACAGCTGGAGAAAGAACAGCAAATAAAGCTTAAACCCAGCAAGAGAAGAGAAATAATAAAGAGAAGAGCAAAAATCAATGAAACAGAAACCAAAAGAACAGATGAATGAAATGAGGAGCTCCTGGTTCTTTGAAAGAATTAGTAAGATTGATAAATCGCTGGCCAGACTTATCAAAAAGAAAAGAGAAAGGACCCAAATAAATAAAATCATGAACAAAAGAGGAGAGCTCACAACCAGCACCAAACAATACAAACAATTATAAGAAAATATTATGACCAACTATATGCCAACAAATTAGGCAATCTGGAAGAAATGGATGCATTTCTAGAGACATAAAAATTACCAAAATGGAAACAGGAAGAAACAGAAACCCTGAACAGACTCATAACCAGTAAGGAAATTGAATCGGTCATCAAAAGTCTTCCAACAAGTAGGAGTCCAGGCACAGGTGGCATCCCAGGGGAATTCCACCAAACATTTAAAAAAGAAATACCTATTTTTCTGAAGCTGTTTCCAAACATAGAAATAGAAAACTTCCAAACTCTATGAGGACAGCATTACCTTGATGCCAAAACCAGACAAAGACCCGTCAAAGAGGAGAATTATAGACCAATATCCCTGATGAATATGGAGGCAAAAATTCTCACCAAGATACTAGCTAATAATAGGATACAGCAGAACATTAAAAGGGTTATTCACCAGAACCAAGTGGAATTTATTCGTGGGCTGCAAGGGTGCTTTAACATCCAGAAATCAACCCATATGATACAGTACATTAATAAAAAAGGACAAGAATGGTATGATCCTCTCAATAGATATAGAAAAAGCATTTGACATAGTATAGTATCTTTTATTGATTTAAATTCTTCCAGTGTAGGGATAGAGGGAACATACATCAATATTATAAAAGCCAGGGATCCCTGGGTGGCGCAGCGGTTTGGCGCCTGCCTTTGGCCCAGGGCGCAATCCTGGAGACCCGGGATCGAATCCCACATCGGGCTTCCGGTGCATGGAGCCTGCTTCTCCCTCTGCCTGTGTCTCTGCCTCTCTCTCTCTCTCTGTGACTATCATAAATAAATAAAAATTTTAAAAAAAATATTATAAAAGCCATATAAGAAAAGCCCAGAGCGGGAGTACCTGGGTGGCTCAGTGGTTGAGTTTCTGCCTTTGGCTCAGGCTGTGATCCTGGGGTCCTGGGATCGAGTCCTGCACTGGGCTCCCTGTATGAAGCCTGCTTCTCCCTCCACCTATGTCTCTGCCTCTCTCTCTGTGACTCTCATGAATAAATAAAATCTTAACACACACACACATGTACACACAAGAAAGATAATAAAACACTGAGTTAACAACCAGTTTAAGAACTTATTAGGCACCTGGGTGGCTCAGTCGGTTAAGCATCTGCCTTTGGCTCAAGTCATGATCTCAGGGTCCTGGGATTGAGTCCTGAATCAGACTCTCTGTTCCGTGGAGAGCCTGCCTCATCCTCTCCCTCTCCCCTTCCACTTGCTTGTGCTCTCTTTCATACATGATCTCTCTCTCTCAAAAATAAATAAAATCTTTAAAAAAAAAAAAAGAAAAAGAAAGAAAAGGGCAGAATTAACACTAGCAGGAATTACAAAAAAAGCGAAGGGCAGCTGCGTTTCTCAATCAGTTAAGTGTTCAACTCTTGATCTGAGCTCAGGTCTTGATCTCAGGGTTGTGAGTTGGGTGTGGAGCCTGCTCAAAACATATATACATATATATGTATGCACACATACACACACACGTGATAAACAATACTATGTCAATAAAATTTGAAAATTTAGATGAAATAGATGGTTTTGTAGAAACATATACAACTAACTCAAGAATAAATAAAACACACGACTAAACCAATAACCATTCAAATAAACTAAGTTAGCTGTTAAGAGTCTGCCTCTAGGGGATCCCTGGGGGGCTCAGCAGTTTGGAGCCTGCTTTCGGCCCAGGGAATAATCCCAGCAGTCCTGGGATCGAGTCCTGCATCAGGCTTCCTGCATGGAGCCTGCTTCTCCCTCTGCCTGTGTCTCTGCCTCTCTCTTTCTCTCTGTGTGTCTCTCATGAATAAATAAATAAAATCTTAAAAAAAAAAAAAACAGTCTGCCTCTGCCTCTAAAACAGACACTAGGAACAGATGACTATAGCCAACCTTCACCAAACTAAAAGGAACACAGAATCCTTGCATTACATGGACTGTTTCAGGAGACAGGAAAGAGGTAAGGCTTATAACCTTGAAGTCAAAGCAGCCACGATGAGTAAAAAAATATGAGTCACAGATGCAAAAATCCTATATAAAGGATCAGTAAACCAAATACAACAGTCTATATAATATAAAACATCATTACCAAGCAGACCCTGGGTAGCTCAGCGATTGAGCACCTGCCTTCTGCTCAGGGCGTGATCCTGGAGTCCCAGGACTGAGTCCCACATTGGGCTCCCTGCATGGAGCCTGCCTCTCTCTCTCTCTCTGTCTCTCATGAATAAATAAATAGTCTTTAAAAAAGGAAAAAAGAAATCATTACCAAGTAGGAAATGATCCAAGAATGCAAGGACAGTGGAAAAGTCAATGTAATCTACCCCATTAGAGATTACAGAATAGCAAAAATCATCTTAAGAGATGCAGTGAAAGGGCAGCCTGGGTGGCTCAACGGTTGGCGCCGCCTTCAGCCCAGGGCGTGATCCTGAGGACCTGGGATTGAGTCAATAAAATCTTAAAAAAAAAAAAAAGAGATGCAACAAAGGTATAAATTCATGCTAAAAGTCTTTAGCAAATTCACATAGAGGGAACTTTCCTAATATGGTAAAAAGCATATGAAAATATAAAAAGACTACAGCAAATAGAAGTATAGGTAAAACTTTATTTTTTTTAATTTTTTATTTTTAAAGATTTATTTATTTATTCATGAGAGACACACACACACACACAGAGGCAGAGACACAGGCAGAGGGAAATGCAGGCTCCATGCAGGGAGCCCGATGCAGAACTTGATCCCGGGACTCCGGGATCACACCCTGAGCCGAAGGTAGACGCTCAACCATGGAGCCAGCCAGGCGTCCCTAGGTAAAACTTGAGAAGCATTCCAATTTCAGTCAGGAACAAAACAAGATGCTAACTTCTTATCCCTACAATTTCATATTATACCTAAAAAGCCTATCCAACACAATGAGACAAAAATGAAGAGGTATAAAGATCAAAAAGGAAAAGACAAACTGTTATTCTTGTAGACAATGCAATTATCTACAAAGAAAATTACCAAGCACCTATTAGAAATAAGTTAAACAGGGTTATTAGATACAGGAGCACCTATACCTCAGCAATAACAAAAATAATAAATATAAATAAATAAAAATAAAAGAAAGAAAATGATACACTTTTAACAACAAAATCTAAGGACCTAGCAGTATATGAAAAAAAAAAAAAAGAAAAAAATTTACAAGATAGAAAAATCTACTACTGAAAGGGTTAAATAGATATACTATGTTCATGGAAGGAAAACATTGTTACCATAACAAAGTCAACTATACACAAATTAATCTATAAAATTAAGGAAAACTCCACTAAAAATTCTGAGTTTTCATGGAAATACATGCAAGGCTGTTCACTGAAGCACTACTAATACATTATATTTCAGGTAACCTGAGAGCTCTGTTACAGGGATAGATAAGTTAATCAAGGCAGGTATTCTGCAGGCCATGAGGACCTCGCTTTGTGCAACAAGGAATTGTAGCCACAGAACAGAACTCAACTCTTTGGTTCAGTGGTGACCCAGAGCCCACAGCCACCAGGGTGAGTGGAAATGCCAACCGCAGAGTGACATAGTGTGATGTGTCCATATATACACATACATTTTTGTAGCTATAAATGTGTAATAAAAAAGCTAAAAATAGGGGCGCCTGGTTGGCTCAGTGGTTAAGCATCTGGCTTCGGCTCAGGGAATGAACCAGGTCCTGGGATCGAGTCCCACATCAGGCTCCCTGCGAGGAGCCTGCTTCTCCCTCTGCCTGTGTCTCTGCCTCTCTCTCTGTGTCTCTCATGAATAAATAAATAAATAAAATCTTAAAAAAAAAAAAATGAAATTCAGAATTAAAGAAATTTTTTTAACATCTTCATAAATTTTGAGCCAATATTTTATCAATAAAAACATATGTGATAAAACACTTTTCTCTACAAAAAAAACCCACAATTTTTTGCATTTGTCCAAAGCCCTTCTGGAAACACGTGTCCTTGCATACCTCCTCAGGGACTCTATCAAGGCCGCTCTGGAGTCAGGGGTTCTTGGGAGCTGTGGGAGAAGATGTGATGCAAGTCAAACATCTGCTCTCTGCCAACTGGGCACCAAGTCCATGAGCACATGTACTGACCACTCGAGGTGTGAGCAGGGCAGGGAGAAAGTGCGACATGTAGTAGGGTCTCCTGAAGATACTGCAACACAGAAGAGCACGTTTAGAGGCATCACATACTCGGTCAGATGACAGAAACATTAGAGCATCTTCCTGAAAACTATGAGAACATCCATTTCCACAGTCACTGCCATTCACAGGGTGGCACCACATGAGTTGTTTCATTTGTGTCATATGACTGTGATATTATACCAGGGTTGTTTTTGTTTTTTAAAGATTTATTTATTGAGGGCAGCTCCAATGGCCCAGCAGTTTGGCGCTCCCTTCAGCCTGGGGTATGATCCTGGAGAGCTCGGATCAAGTCCCACGTCGGGCTCCCTGCATAGAGCCTACTTCTCCCTCTGCCTGTGTCTCTGCCTCTCTTTCTCTCTGTGGCTGTCTTGAATAAATAAATAAAATCTTAAAAAAAAATTATTGATTGATTTCAAAGAGGAAGAGAACAGAGTACACGCATGTGCTGGCAAGCCAGTGAATGGGGGGGAGGGCAAAGGGAAATAGAATCTTAAGCAGACTCCCTGTTGAGCATGAAGCCCAACATGGAGCTTGATACCAGGACCCCAAGATCATGACCTGAGCCAAAACCTAAGAGTTGGACATTCACTGACAGAGCCACTCAGGTGCCCCTATACCACAGTTTTTCACTGTTTTGGGACATTTCATGCAAAGGGACAACGGGCCTGCATCCCAGGGATCTTGAAGACACTCTGTGTGAGACACAGCCATGCAACCTGAGTAATTTCAGAAATCCTGGGAGCTAGACTCGGTTCACATTTCTGAAAAGCAATACCTTCAAAAACCTTGCCCACACTGGTGGAATCCAGAGTTCAAGATGTCTCCGGATCACACCAAATTCAACAAAATTCTGCTATTCAGTTCAGTCCTGGCTCCACACTGGTCACCCATGGAGCACTGATGAAAAATCGTTTATTAAACCATGGGCTCATCTCATCCTTCTGTGTTGGCTCTACTCAACAATATCCATTGGTTTTTCCTCAAGAAAATGAATTTTAGGGGATCCCTGGGTGGCGCAGCGGTTTAGCGCCTGCCTTTGGCCCAGGGCGCGATCCTAGAGACCCGGGATTGAATCCCACGTCGGGCTCCCGGTGCATGGAGCCTGCTTCACCCTCTGCCTATGTCTCTGCCTCTCTCTCTCTCACTGTGTGCCTATCATAAATTAAAAAAATAAAAAATAAAAAATAAAAAATAAAAATAAAAAAATAAAAAAAAAGAAAATGAATTTTAAAGCAAGGGCTCTTTGAGGTACCACCTCACTACAGGACTGGTGCTGGAACACCTACCTTCAGTCATCCACAAATACAACAGCCACCCTGCTCCAAGCAGCTGAGAATAGACGGGACATCTCCAGGAAGCATGGCCCTACCTGGCCTCCATGACGGCAACAGGGACTTTCCCCGTGTGTTCGAACACTGCGATGGCCTTCTCCACATCCTGGTGAGCTTGGCTGTGGGGCTGGTTCCACACAGGGAAGATGGGAAAGACAAAAGATGCGAAAGAAAAGAGACTGAGCAGAGAAGGGTGCCATCAGCCTACCCTGCAGCACAAAGACAACCCTGCCATTTCAAGGTGGAGGACAATATGGTCGCTGCCAACACAGCAAGGGAATATTGCCACAAACCAATAACAACGAGTCCACGGAAAGGGACCGACTGCTGTTTCAAGGTCTCAGAAAGATCACACCTCAAAAGAGTCACCCCAAGGACCAGTCAACACCTGTGAGAACCTCTGTCACCCCCTGGGCTTGCCCTAGGACAATACAGGGTTCCAAAGAAAAACTCTGAAGTGGGAAGGGGAAGGAACTTAATTTTTGAGAGTTAAAAAAATTATGACAGCAATGTTAATAGACACCAACATTAAAAAATTGACAGCAATGTTAATAGACACCAACATTAAATACTTAAAATATTAACCTAATACTTTAATGGCAGCCTTAAGGGCTCTCCAGCCACTCACAACCTTTAAGTAAGAGTCTTAAAATGGGCAGCCCAGGTGGCTCAGCAGTCTAGCGCCGCCTTCGGCCAGGGTATGATCCTGGACACCCAGGATCGAGTCCCATGTCAGGCTCCCTGCATGGAGCCTGCTTCTCCCTCTGCCTGTGTCTGTCCCTGCCCCCCGCCAATGTGTCTTTCATGAATAAATAAAATCTTAAAAAAAAAAAAGTCTTAAAATAACATATACACAAACTATACCACCATCTGACATTTGGCTTATGTAAATATAGTTAACATTTTTTCCTGTAATTCACAGAAATACAGGATCTTTCTCCTGTCCCATTTTAAAGACAGCCTCTGTAATGCAAATCCACATGATTCAAGATCTAAAAGACAGACCTTCCTGCACACACTAAGTTGCTTTGCTCCTGTTCTGAAAATTTAACTCACATCCTCCAGCTATACTAGGGAGAAAAGGCTCAGAGTCCCAGGAAATGAGCCTATGCTTGGTGAGCACAGGCAAGAGGCCACAGGTGATAGCAGAACCGAGGTGACATTACCTCTCTGACGTCCTTGGCTGAAGACAGATCTTCGTAGAGGCCCATGTTTTCCACTGAAACCTGAAGAGGAGATGTGGTCAGGAGCATAAGGCCCTGGCCTCTGTGGGGAGAGGCTGAGGAAGCCACTGCTGCAGGGGAGTGGAACGGCAGGGAGGCCAAGACTCACCTTCAGGTCAGCCAGGCGCGTCTTAGCCAGTGTGACATAGTCTGTGAGGAGAGAGCGGTACTTGCTCGGCACCAGCGGGGGGTAGAGAATGTGCACCTGTGGGCAGAGCAGGGTTATGTCAGCCCATGACCTATGGGTGACTTTCTTGGGAAACAGCAACAGCTTGCTTTGGATACTTGTACTCCTGTGGATGGCAGGAGAGTCAAGGATTACCCAAAGTCCACAGGGGGCTAACGCTAGAGGTAAAACAGACAAAAATCACAGCTGAGGGTCTCCAAGTGTACCTGTGCACATTCCTTCAGAAGCGGGCCAGGCAAGCCCCTCCCTGACCCTGGCACCACCCCAACCCCACTCCCCTGTCCTCCTCACCCTCCCAAACCCCCACCCCGTCTCCTGCAGCACAAACACAGTGGTGCCCCAGGGAGATGAAGGGTCCAGCCCTCAGGGCAGGCTGGAAGTTTTGAGCTTCACTCGGTGATGATACAGTCTCTAGTCTATGTCCCTTAGGTCACATGTATTCTTTGGAATGTAATACAAATTTCTTAATTACAAAAAGAAGAATCAGTTTCCAATGTCCTACACTCCATAGAATGCTGGGCATCATTATCTAATTAAAAAAGAAAGCTTGCAATAAGGCATCTTTAACCATGAGATTCATACAGCTTTGTTATAAAAAATGCAAATTCTATACAAGGGTGTAATGTCTTCCACCTCTGGAAGGAAATGGTCACAGGCACTTTGGGGTATATTCTGTTGATTCTCCTTCAATATAAAAATACACCATTTTATATGTTAACTAACTGGAATTTAAGTAAAAACTTGAACCTACAAGAAGGGAGGGAGGGAGGGAAAGAAAATATCTATCATTTTAAGAAAACAAACATGGGGCTGTGCCATACGCATATATGCTCCTCCCACCAAGTGGGTGCCAAGGACATCCTTCTATGCCAGCACATAGACCTGTCTCATCCTTGTGGGGGGCTGTGTGCTGTCACCCTCCACTCGACACCAGTGCTCACCAACCACCTCCTAGGGATGGACAAGCGGCTGGTTCCCGGGCACTTTACCATCATAAACATGGTTTCCATGCCGAGTGCACAATCACATCCCTAGCTGGCACGTGTGTATCAGGGAAAACCAGCAGGATGGTGAGTGGTGGGACTGCCCCTGCCTGAGGCACCTTGGGTGGCTGCTCACCTGCATGTACCTTGGAGCCTCAAAGGGCACGAGGTCTGACAGGAACTTGAAGAGAAAGACCAGTGTCTTCTTGCTGCCACTGTGGAAGCCCCTTGTGCTCCCAAAAGAGGCCTGGAGGGAGAGGCGGGCATGAGACCAGGCGGCTGGCTCCACAAGGGGCAGTGCCACCCACCCAGGTACATATCACAGAACGGCAGAAACAGAGGCTCAACTGCATCCAAAGGGAAACAGCTGCTTGGCCTCCTGTAATCTCACAATGCCACAGCTCTGTGGCTCTGCATGCCTCACAGCATGGGCTGAAAGTTCATTTAAAACAAAAATAAAGGGGATCCCTGGGTGGCACAGCGGTTTAGAGCCTGCCTTTGGCCCAGGGCGCGATCCTGGAGGCCCAGGATCGAGTCCCACATCGGGCTCCCGGTGCATGGAGCCTGCTTCTCCCTCTGCCTATGTCTCTGTCTCTCTCTCTCTCTCTCTCTCTGTGTGTGACTATCATAAATAAATAAAAATTTAAAATAAATAAATAAAAAATAAAATAAATAAAAATAAAAAGACACCTGGGTGGCTCACAGTCGGTGAAGTGTCTGCTTTCAGCTCAAGTCTTGACCCCAGCGTCCTAGGATCGAGTCCTGTTTTGGGCTCCCTGCTCCATGGGGAGCCTGCTTCTCCCTCTCCCTCTTGCCTGCTCGTGCCTGCTCTCTCTCTCAAATAAATAAAGTTTTTTTATTTTAATTAAAAATATATTCCTATACAAAACAGTAACTGTGTTATCTTTTTGTGACTCTCAGGAGCACAATGTATTAGCAGCCCTGAAAAGGCCTCTTTCCTAAACAAACACATTCTATATGATGAAGCCACTTCTGAACGCATGGTATCACCCAGACTCTTCTATGAGGGGACAAGGTCACTGCAGGAGTGGCCAAGAAGGGTCACCCCTCACAACACTGCAGAGAGCCAGGAACTGAGGGTGCCCAGGGAGTGCTAGTGATTTCGGAATGGGTATCAGCCCTGCAGTGCCACTATGAGCCTTTGCCAAGACGACTGAACCCCTAGCCACACACAGCCCTGCCCCGGCCCAGCTCACCAGCAGAGCCACCGCCACTGCATCTGAGGCCCTCAGCACTTGTGCCGAAGTGCACGACATAATTCTTCTAAGAGGAGGTGGTGCAGACACAAAAAGCAACCAGGTAGAGGAGGATAGCAGCAGAGCAGGACCCTAGGCTCACCTCATCCCATGAACACAACCAGATAACTATCAAATTATCCCAAATGCCCCAGAAATCGACTTGAAGACTAGCAGAACAAACTCCACAACACTATAAACCTAGAAATCAACCACAAGAAAAGACGTGGAAAGACCACAAATACATGAGGTAAAACATGCTACTAAATAATCAGTGAGTCAACCAAGAAGTCAAAGAAGAAAAAAAAAGTTCACAGAAACAAATGAAAATGAAAACACAACAGCCCCAAATCTCCGGGATGTGGAAAAGTGGTTTGAAGTACAAAGTTTATACCAATAAAGGCCCACCTTAAGAAGAAAGGAAAAAAAAAAAAAAAAAGGAAAACCTCAAACAATACAATTTTACTCGCAGAAGAGCTGGAAAAGGAACAACAAACAAAACCTAAAACCAGCAGAAGGAAGGAAATAATAAATATTAGAGAAGAGGGGCTCCTAGGTGGCTCAGCAGTTGAGCATCTGCTGTCAGCTCAGGGCATGATCTTGGGAGTTCCAGGATCAAGTCCCATGTCGGGCTCCCTGCATGGAGCCTGCTTCTCCCTCTGCCTATGTCTCTGCCTCTCTCTCTGTGTCTCTCATGAATAAATAAATAAAATCTTTTAATAAATAAATAAGTTATACTTAAAAAAATTAGAGAAGAAATAAACAATATAGAAACTAAAACAAAAAAGATGAAACCAGGAGCTGGTTCTCTGAAAAAAAAAAAAAAAAAAGGCAATAAAAATGATTACATCTGTAGCCAGACTTATGAAGAAAAAAAGATAAAGGACCCAAATAAAATCACGAATGACAGAGAAGTGACAACCAACCACCCCAGAAATACAAACAATTTTAAGACATTATTATGAAAAACTACATACCAACAAACTGGACAACCTGGAAGAAATGGATAAATTCCTAGGAACACATAACCTGCCAAAACTGAAACAGGAATAAACAGGAAACTTCAACAAGACACATAACCAGCAAAGAAATTGAATCAGTCATCAAAAATCTCCCAAAAAACAAAAGTCCAGGCCAGATGGCTTCACAGGGGAACTCTACCAAACACTTAAAAAGAGTTAATACCTATTCTTTTCAAACTATTCCAAAAACATTGAAGAAGGAAAACTTCCTAATTCATTCTATGAAGCCAGCATTACGCTGATACCAAAACTAGATAAAGACTCCACTAAAAAAGAATTATAGGCCAACAGCCCTGATCAACATGGATGCAAAAATCCTCAACAAATACTACCAAACCGAATCCAACAATACATTAAAAAAATCATTCACCACAATCAAGTGGAATTTATTCTGCAGCTGCAAAGGTGTTTCAATATTCAGAAATCAATGTGACACATGACATCAATGAGAGAAAGGATAAAAATCATATGACACACTGTTCTGACACTTTCCTTAGGAGGAAAACATGAGTGATGATCAAGGTGGAGGCATGACTAGAGGAGGTTGTTAAGGATGGTATTCATGTGTCTTTGCTCTCTCTGCCGTATGCCTCAGTCTGGTTAAAAAACTTCTGTACTAGCGAATGGTGGTATACAGTGTGGGATAGTGTCATAACCAATTTGACAATTTATTATTCACAAAATAACAATAAATCTCTAGCTTTAAAAAAAAAATCACATGACATTTCAATAGATGCAGAAAAAAACATTTGACAAAGTATAGCACCATTCATGACAAAAACCCTCAGCAAAATTAAGTTTAGAGGGAACATACCTCAACATAATAAAAGCTGAAAAACTCACAGCTTACATCATCCTAAAAGGGAAAAGTTGAGAGTCTTTCCCCCTAACATCAGGAACAAGATAAGGATTTCCACTCTCACCATTTTTATTCAACATAGTACTTAAGAAATCAGACCACAAACAGAAATGAAAGATATCCAAATCAGTAAGGAAGAAGTAAAACTTTATCTGCAGATGACATACTATATACAAAACCCAAAAAACTTCACCAAAAAACTACTAGAAGTGATAAATAAATTCAGTAAAGTCACAGGATATGAAATCAACATCCATAATTTTTTTCTATTTCCATGCATTAATAATGATGCAGCAGAAAGGGAAATTAAGAAAACAACCCCTTTACAACTGTACCAAAAAACATTAAGATTCCTAGGAATAAACCTAACCAAAGAGGTGAAAGACCTATATACCCTGAAAACTATACAACACTAATGAAGGAAACTGAAAAGAACACAAAGAAATGGAAACACATCCCATGAGAATGGACTGGAAGAACAAATATTGTTAAAATACTTAACTATACTACCCAAGGTAATATACAGATTTAGTGCAATCCCTATCAAAATACCACCAGCATTTTTCACAGAACAAACAATCCTAAAATTTGTATGGAACCTCTAAAGACCCCAAACAGCCAAGGCAACCTTGGAGAAAAAGAACAAAGCTGGAGGCATCATAATTCTGGACTTCCAAGTTATATTACAGATATAACAATCATGGGATTGTAGGTTCAAGCCCCATGTTGGGTCTAAAAATTACTTAAAAATTTAAAAGTAAAATAAAATCAATTTTAAAAATCTTACAAAGCTGTAGTGATCAAGACAATATGGTACAGGCACAAAAGCAGACAGACAGATGAAGAAAATAGAATAGAAAACCCAGAAATGAGCCCACAACTCTATGATCAATTTATCTTCAACAAAGCAGGAAAGATTATCCAATGGGAAAAAGAACGTCTCTTCAACAAATGGTATTGGGGAAACTGGACAGCTAAAAGAATGAACCTAGACCACTTTCTTACACCAAACACAAAAACAAATTCAAAATGGATTAAAGATCTAAATGTGAGGGATCCCTGGGTGGCGCAGCGGTTTGGCGCCTGCCTTTGGCCCAGGGCGCGATCCTGGCGACCCGGGATCGAATCCCACATCGGGCTCCCGATGCATGGAGCCTGCTTCTCTCTCTGCCTCTCTCTCTCTCTCTCTGTGACTACCATAAATAAATAAATAAATAAAAAATTTTTAAAAAAAAAGATCTAAATGTGAGAACTTGGGGCAACCCAGGTGGCTCAGCGGTTTAGTGCCACCTTAGGCCCAGGGCCTGATCCTGGAGACCCGGGATCAATGCCCACATCAGGCTCCCTGCATGGAGCCTGGTTCTCCCTCTGCCTGTGTCTCTGCCTCTCTCTCTCTCTCTCTTTCTCTCATGAATAAATAAATAAAATCTTAAAAAATAAATAAATGTGAGATCTTAACCCCCCCCAAAAAAAAAAAGAAAGAAATCCTAGAAGTGAGCACAAGCAGTAATTTCTCTGACATTGACTATAGCAACATTTTTCTAGATAAGTCTCCTGAGGCAAGGGAAACAAAAGTAAAAATAAACTACTGGGAATTCATCAAAATAAAAAGCCTCTATAGAGCGAAGTGAACAGTCAATACAACTAAAAGACAACCTACAGAACAAGAGAAGATATGTGTAAATGACATATCCAATAAAGGCCTAGTATCCAAAATACATAAAGAACTTACACAACTCAATATTCCCCCCCAAAAAAGAGAATCCAATTAAAAAATGGGTAGAAGACATGAATAGACATTTCTCCAAAGACGACATACAAATGGCCAACACACATGAAAAGATGCTCAACATCACTCATCATCAGGAAATACAAGCCAAAACCACAATGAGATACTACCTCACACCTGTCAAAAAAAGTTAAAATCAGTCACAAGAAACAACAGGTGTTGCCAAGAATGTCAGAGGTGAGGGAGATGGGGGGATGGGGGAAGAGGCGTTTGGGATTAAGAAGTGTACTTGTCCTGGGCAGCCCGGGTGGCTCAGCGGTTTAGCGCTGCCTTCAGTCCAGGGCCTGATCCTGGAGTCCAGTGATTGAGTCCCACACGTCAGGCTCCCTGCGTGGAGCCTGCTTCTCTCTCTGCCTGTGCCTCTGCCTCTCTCTCTCTCTCTCTCTATCTCTCATGAATAAATAAATAAAATCTTAAAAAAAAAAAAAAAAGATGGGATCCCTGGGTGGCGCAGCAGTTTGGCGCCTGCCTTTGGCCCAGGGCGTGATCCTGGAGACCCAGGATCGAATCCCACATCGGGTGCATGGATGCCTGCTTCTCCCTCTGCCTGTGTCTCTGCCTCTCTCTCTCTCTGTGACTATCATTAATTCATTCATTCATTCATTCATTAAAAAGATGAAAAGAAGTGTACTTGTCCTCAGTGCCAGATGATTAAAATAAAAACTAAAAAACAAAAAAACAACAAAGGCCACCAGATGACAAGAAAACCACCCCACATCACCATTCAGCTCCCACTCAAATACAAGGGCAGCATTTCCCTCCCTCTAATCTGTCTACATGGAAGGATTAGTGATTCATTGTAACATCCACTCAAGAGGGAGCCTTGAGCATCCCAGGTGCCTCAGCAGTTTAGGGCCACCTTCAGCCCAGGGTGTGATTCTGGAGACCCGGAATAGAGTCCCACATCGGGCTCCCTGCATGGGGCCTGCTTCTCCCTCTGTCTGTCTCTGCCTCTGTCTCTCATGAATAAATAAATAAATAAATCTTAAGAAGAAAAAAAGTGGGAGCCTCAATGACATCCTGGAAACAGGAATACAAACAAGCCCCTAGGGGAGAGGCACAGTTTATTTGAAGTATTTACATCAAGAATCTAAAGTAACAGACGAGATTCCCCGCATCTGTAACAGCCTTTAGTGTCACTCCAGGAAAAAGACAGTTATTTTCATTAGAAAAATTACATCTAAGCACACTGTGACGAGCTAAGAACAATAATTCATGACCCCAAGGGGCTCAAATTTAAAATCATGTTGGTCTATTTACATTAATATTCTTAAAAATAAAGATTAGGGATCCCTGGGTGGCGCAGTGGTTTAGCGCCTGTCTTTGGCCCAGGGCGCAATCCTGGAGACCCAGGATCAAATCCCACGTCGGGCTCCCAGTGCATTGGAGCCTGCTTCTCCATCTGCCTATGTCTCTGCCTCTCTCTCTCTCTGTGTGACTATCATAAATAAATAAAAAATTACAAAAAAAAAAAAGAAGTGGTCCCTCCTCAGTGGAAAAAAATAAAAATAAAAAAAAAAATAAAGATTAAAACAATCTTCAAATACTAAACATCTATCAAACTCACCCAACCATTCACTTAACTTGGGTGAATTTTCTATAAATTATATTTCAATAAGGTTAATTTAAAAGGTAAAAGAAAAAACAAAATAAAAAACCCCACCACCAACAGCACTTCTGAAGCACTCCTGTCCTTATGTCACGGGGAACTGAGCAAAAAAAACCAGGACTGGGGTACACCTTGCTTATGACCAAATCACCTAGGCACACAGCTCTTGGCAGATGCAGGAAATAGGCCAGCTGTGTGTGACCTCCAAGGGTACCCAGGCTGTGGATATGTGCGTCCAGCAGGGGCCCCTGGGCCCATTGCTGGGGGAACACAGGGCTGAGAAGCAGCAGCTCCACGGAATAAAGGAATAAAGAAAGAACACCACGACCACCTGTCCTATACCAATGGCCCAGCAGGCAGAGGCTGGGCCAGGGCAGGCTACCACACTGGCGGTACAGGTGCAGCCACCCTCAGAACTAGAGTAAGGTTGGCTCCCCACAAAGAAGCAACAACTACACCTCCCTGGTGGTGTGGCAGGAAAACCCAAAACCTGTACAGAGAATTAGACAGCTTTTTCCATGACAGATTTATATACACCCAACGTTCAAAGTTGATGTCTAGAAGACACCAGCTCAGAAGTGGGACTGCAGTGGGTCTGGGAACATCTGCACAAACGTGCCAAGAACATGGATATGGCAGAAACAGAGAGGAGACCCCAGGAAGCTGAGGAGCACTCCCCTGGGATGCAATTCATGGTGCAGGCAGCAGCAGCCACATTTGTTCTCACACTTTCCTGACGGCACTCCCTGCCCCAGAGACCTGATGGCGTGGGCAATGTGTTAATGAGGGGAGCAGCCAAACCCTGGACAAGGTAGCACAGAGCCCCAGGGGGAGGCTGAGAGGAATAGCCCTGACCCACAGAATGCGTTTGTAGCAAGGATGGCAATCAGGGTCCTGGCAATGATTGCCAAGAGGTAGCTCACCTGGAACCAGTCTGCATAGGATGGGAACACAGAGGGGCCCTCCAGCGCAGCCTGACGCACAACCAGGAACGCAGTGACCATGCTGTCCAGGTCGCAGCTCTCGAAAGCACGGGCCAATAATCGAGTGACCCAATCTAGGAGGGAATCTCTGGTCATGGCTGGCAGACCATGACATGCAGTAAAATAAAATGCATACATTCTGCTGGAGGTAGAGCGTGCCAGTTAGGAGGATATACATGCCCCCTGCCACATGCAAGAGACTGGATAATAAGTAACCAGAGCAGCCAAATGCCAACTACATGAGGCTCTGGCAAGCAGTGCTGGCACCACAGGTGGATGACGGGCCCAGATGAGGAGACATGGGGCTCCCAACCAAGTGTACCTTGAACCAACTGCTGTGCTTCAGGTGAGCAGATCACCAGCGTAGACACACAGGAGAGTACGTGCTGCCAGTTCACTTCATGTGTTCCCAGAACTTCTTCTAAGTGGCCAATCAATTCCTCTGGACTAAGCATCACAAAGAGCTGAAACAAAAGTTCCCCAACCTGGCTGTCAAAACAAGCCACTCAACAGGCAGCTGGCTCCCCGCATCCACCCAACTTTGCAGCAGACACAACACAGAGTCCAAACCGTGACACTTCTGCCCTTGTCAGTGTGGGCAAGGAGGGATTCTCCTCTCAAGGAGATGATGTTTTGTAAGTTCAGTCTGGGACCCCAGGGGTCCAGGTGTGGATGGCTGTGTCTGAGGAGCCTCCTGGCTTTTCTCTCCCCAGACTGGGAGCCACAGAGCCCCGTGGAAACAGTGCCACCCAGCACAGGAGCAGCAGGTCTTAACACTGCATGACACCCACCCTGCGGTACAGACTGCTGAGCAGAGGGTGTGTCTTTGCAAAGCTCCAATCTCTCTGCAATCGAACAGCATCAGAAACTTCATTCAGGAATAAAAACAGACAAAAATGTTAAATCAGTAATCATGAAAAACTAGGCTATGTTTCAATGTCAAAAAAAAACTACCTTGTTTTAATGTGCATTTTTCCCCCCAATTATTAGCAAACATCTGTTTGTGAACCATCTTCTGTTATCAAGTATGTTTTTGGCCAATTCCTTGCTGCTAATCCTTTACCATATTTGCTCTATTTTCTAATCCATCAATTAGTTTAATTTTGCTGCTTGTAAACTTTAGCTGTCGATAAGCAATCAGCAATGATGCTGCAAAGCCTGTGTGTGGTTGGAGTGGGCACTGACACCTACCCAAGCCCCTCAGGAGGTCCAATACAGCACCTGCCAAAAGCTTCCATGCCGGCTGCCTGAGGACCCTGCCTGGGCCACCATGCTGCACACACACAAAGCCTAGTAGGTTAGGTGTTCATTTCAGCTCCTGGGCAATTGTGAGCATGTGCCATCAACCCAAGGACACTCACTGGGATCTAACATGGCATCAACGACTCCTGAGAAGAGCCTGCAACTATGGTGGACCCTTGAACAGTGTGGGTCCACTTACATGCAGCGTTTTCCTGATACATACAGGACAGCTATGTTAATGTATTCTCTTCCTTATCATGTCTGAATGTTATTTTCTTTTGTCCAGCTGACTCATTCTAAGAACACAGTACATAGTACATGTTGCATACAAAATATGTATGTTCACCGAGTGCTGTCACCAGGAGGGCTATTAGTAGTTAGGTTATGGAAAGTCAAAGCTATATGCAGATTTTCAACTGCACCAGAGGTCAGGGTCCCCCACCCACACATCATCCAGGGACAAACTGTGCATAAGAAAATGTTTGTGATACAGAATTTATTCTAACAACCTAGGAATTCAGTCTAATACCTAGATTTTCAACATCTATTGAGAAAACACCACAAGAAAGGTCACACATTATATATATTCCTATTTTAATGAAGATATGGCTAACAGTTCTTCCCATACTTCTTTAATTCTGAGTGTTCTTTATGAGAATGTGTACTTTCAAATGGAAGGGTATCTGATGATAGTGTGTCCTCATGATCTCAGCTGTGTCTGGGGCCCACACTCCCACGAGGGTCCCCAGAACCCACCTTTCAGCACAGGCTTATGGGTTAGCACCTGAGTCAGAGTATGACTGAAGAATCTCTTTGGACAATCTGTTGATATCATTCTGCCAAACGTGTGTCCACAAAACATGCCAAACCTGCAAACACAGCATTGAGAGGTGCTCAGGGAGAGAGGCCCTCCAGGATCCCAGCAGCACTGACAGTGTCACACACACACACACACACACACACCACCACCAACTCCTCAAAGACTACTGTCCAGCAAGGCGGTACAGACCTCAAGGCCCCTAACTCTCAGCTAAAGGGATGCACAGGCTTGCCCAACATGCCACAGACTTCAAGACCAGTAAGAAAGGAGTTGCCAAAAAAAAAAAAAAGAAAGGAGTTGCCCATGGATTAGAGAAGCCGGAAAGGGAAGGCTGGTCCAGTCCACAGCAACCTCTAAACCTCACAAAGCCTCAGTCACCCCATCTGTGAAATGGGTATCAGGGGCAGCAGGGCAACAGCCATGCTTGTGCAAAGCACCTGGCACACAGAGGCACTCAGATGCCAATGACATCCCGTGACAGGATAAGGAAGGAAGGACAATGGGCAGGTCGAAACTGATGGGGCAGGTCGTCACTGATGGGTCAGGAGGGACACAGGGTGTCAGGGATCCCTGTCACGGCTTCTTGACAGTGGGGTGCCGAGGGCACTTCTGTGTGCCAGAGTCAGAGTCACCGACAGTTCAGCCCATTCCTCAGGAAGAAAACCCCAGGAAGAAGAACAGCCCAGTCACATGAGCCATGAGGAGACACCAGGCAGGAGGGGTGCTGCTGGCCCTCCTGGGGGACAGAACCAGGATGAAAACCCCCATGTGCCAGGAGGGCAGCCACCCAGACCAGTCTGGTTTTATTGTAAATACTGACAATTAAATAAGCAACTTAAAAAGAGGGGCTCTAGGGTGGCACAGTCAGCTAGGTGTGCAACTAGTTTTGGCCCAGGTCATGAGATCCAGCCCTGCGTTGGGCTCCGTGCTCAGTGGAAACTCTGCTTGGAACTCTCTCCCTCTGCCCCTCCCCACCGTGCTCATTCACTCTCTCAAATAGATAAATCATTTTTTAAAAAAGTTAACTTAAAAAATAAATAAATAAACATACATACATAAATAAATAAATAAATAAATAAATAAATAAATAAATAAATAAACAAACTTAAAAAGGAAAAAACATATCTAGTCATGATCTGACTCTGAGGACATAAGCTCGAGCAATGCAGTCAGGCGTGTTACAAAAAACACAGAAAATTTAAGAAACAAAGCAGTATTGCATCAACAGTTGCAGTGAAGTACAGAATTGGACAGTATGTCTAGGATCACTGGAGTACCGACAGGAGCAAAGCCACGTTTGCAAGGCCTGAGGATGCTAGAAACTTCCCCGGTTTCCCCGGCCAGTCTCATCCCACATCACTGTGAAGCAAACCCAATACCCCAACGACCAATCCCAGCATGTACCTCCAAGAGCCACAGAGAGAGAAAGCTAACATAGTGAGTATAAGTACCGACCTTGGGAGGCACAGAAGACTCAGCGGGAAGAGAGGGCATGGGGGGCAGGCATGAGGAGAGAGCCCAGACAGGGACAAGGTCGCTTCCAAGGAGCCACAGGTAGAACAAGGGGCACATCACAACCCGCAGGAATCTGGGCTCAGACCAGGAGTGCAGACCCCGAGGTGAGAGAGGATTCACACAGAAAGGAGGCCTGCCTCCTGCCTCATCTTCAGAGGGAACAGGCAGACCACAGGGCTTCTAGGGCCTTCCAGCGATCATTCTCACAGGATGTCATCACAATGGCAGAACGTATGTTCAGGAATCAGCCACTGATACTTCAGGAGTGTTTCAAATACATAGGACCTTTAACACGGTAGGCACCACCCCATAAACATGACCAGCAGGCCTGCCCCCAGGACATACCAGCACTTCACTGCCTTGTACACTGGGGATTCGTCCTGCAAGCCAGTGGCCAAAGCCTCGAGAGCAACTGAGGACAGATGGTGGAAAGAGAAAACACATCAGCTCAGCATCAAAGTCCATCAAAAATGATCGCTGACCAGGTATCACCAGACAAATCAGGTAATGATTTCCAAATAACAGACCTTGTAGCCCTTCTAAGCGCCCCAAAGGTACAAGTCCTCCAAGCATCCTAAAGGTACCAAAGACTCAAGCCTTTTAAAGCAATGGAAACAGAGACAGTAAACCACTTCCCTAATTCACCGTTAAACTGGTTCTCATTCACAGCTCTGGAGATTAAATGCATAGCCACCAAGAACTAAAACCCAGGAGAAGCAGTAGAGGCTAAGTTCAGGTGAATACTTGAAGTGGAAAGGCAGGAAACCCTGAGAATCCCTAATAAGCAAACTAGCTCTTGCCCAGTCTGGAGAATACAGCACATGACTCACAGATCAGCATCCTCCGAAGCACCGCAACGGCGAGCTGTCAAAATAGAACACAAGAGTCACTGTCACTCACCTCCGTGCATCACCCAAGCAAACCAGCGGTCACCCCACGGGAAAATGAGAAAGCGCCTCCACACAGTACCCCGAACTAGGGAGACTCTGCCAGTGAAAAGGCAGACTTTCTGGAAGAATCTACTGCGATCCCCAGGATCTCTCTCAGCATGGCCCAGGGCCCTGACCACACAGTGCTGGCCTCCCACAGCCCCTGGTACACAGGGTTGGTACAGAGTTCTGCTGCTAAAAAGCTCTCTTCTCTCTTCCCTCAGATTCTGGGCTGTGGTAAACGCCTTCACCCTTAAGAACCGTGCAAACTAGAACATGGCAGGGGATGCTTCTGCTTTGTTCCACTTCCTCACGCCTGCCAGACGCAGGGAATGACAGTACTCATGAAGCACCCCAGGAAAGTAACAGAACAAATTTCCTATCAAACCTTATAGACTGAAACGTGGGGCCAATGGTCCAGGAACTTCCACTTCTGTAATGAGCCAATTCCAGACTCTTCATTTACTTTTCCTCCTACCTGTGCCATCCGTTCAGGCTCCATGTTTCTTCTTGGATCTGAGATTTTCTGAAATCCTCTCAAAACAAACAATTGCACAAAATCTGAAAACCACAAAACCCAATTATTCAGATGCACTGTGGTCTCCAAACAGTTGTGGATCATGCTGAATACCTGCTTCCCAACAACTGGAAGGGTGAGGACCCATATCAGCCCATCCCACTCCACACCCCACACAAAGCGAACCAACCCAAACCCTGCCTGGACCACACTTGGCTTCTTGCCACTCTATGTGAAAGGGAAATACTTATAATCAATCAAGTTTATGGGAAGGATTTTTCTCTTAAAGTAGTATCTGGGGCACCTGGCTGCCACAGTTGGAAACATGTGACTCTTGATCTTGGAGTTAAGTCTGAACCCCACGGTGCCTGGGTAAACCGTCTGCCTTCAGCTCAGGTCATGATCCCAGGGTCCTGGGATCGAGTCCCCATTGGGCTCCCTGATCAGTGGGGAGTCTGCTTCCCTCTTCCACTCCCCCTCCTTGTGCTGTCAAATAAATAAATGAAATCTTAAAAAAGGGATCCCTGGGTGGCGCAGCGGTTTGGCGCCTGCCTTTGGCCCAGGGCGCGATCCTGGAGACCCGGGATCGAATCCCACGTCGGGCTCCCGGTGCATGGAGCCTGCTTCTCCCTCTGCCTGTGTCTCTGCCTCTCTCTCTCTGTGATTATCATAAAGAAATAAAAGTTAAAAAAAAAAAATCTTAAAAAAAAAAAAAGTCTAAGCCCCATGGTGGATATAGAGATTATTTTTATTTATTTTAAAGATTTTATTTATTTATTCATGAGAGACACAGAGAGATGCAGAGAGATAGAGGCAGAGACACAGGCAGAGGGAGAAGCAGGCTCCATGCAGGGAGCCCAACATGGGTCTCGATCCTGGGCCTCCAGGATCAGGCCCTGGGCTGAAGGCGGCGCTAAACTGCTGAGCCACCAGGGTTGCCCTAGAGATTACTTTAAACAAAAAGGAGCCAGTGGTTTGGCACCTGCCTTTGGCCCAGGACGCAATCCTGGAGACCCGGGATCAAGTCCCGTGTCAGGCTCCCAGCCTGGAGCCTGCTTCTACCTCTGCCTGTGTCTCTGCCTCTCTCTCTCTCTATGCCTATCATGAATAAATAAATAAAATCTTAAAAAAATAAATAAAAATAAAATAAACAAAAAGTAGCATCTGGCGCAGCCCCAGTGGCTCAGTGGTTTAGCTCCGCCTTCAGCCCAGGGCGGGATCCTGGAGACCCAGGATCAAGTCCACGTCAGGCTCCCTGCATTCTCTCCCTCTGCCTGTGTCTCTGCCTCTATGTCTCTCATGAATAAATAAATAAAATCTAAAAAAAAAAAAAAAAGGAGCATCTAAGGTTCTCACATGGATTGTCTCTCCAGCTAATCTCCTAAACAATGTAAGGGCTGTGTACAAGGACCCAGAAACATATTCTGGGGAACAAGGCAGGAAACTATCTGAGCCCATACTAGAGGATTCAGGAACCGTAAGGAGCTCATATTCATCACCAAGAAAGTTGTAGGAAAAAGGAACACATCTTTTGCAACGTAAAAAAATTCATTAAGGGGATCCTTGGGTGGTGCAGTGGTTTGGCGCCTGCCTTTGGCCCAGGGCGCGATCCTGGAGACCCTGGATCAAATCCCACGTCGGGCTCCCGGTGCATGGAGCCTGCTTCTCCCTCTGCCTGTGTCTCTGCCTCTCTCTCTCTCACTGTGTGCCTATCATAAATAAATAAAATTTTTAAAAAAATTCATTAAGAAGATAAAATAAAAAATAAATGAAGGGATCCCTGGGTGGCGCAGCGGTTTGGCACCTGCCTTTGGCTCAGGGCGCGATCCTGGAGACCCGGGATCGAATCCCATATTGGGCTCCCGGTGCATGGAGCCTGCTTCTCCCTCTGCCTGTATCTCTGCCTCTCTCTCTCTGTGTGTGTGTGACTATCATAAATAAATAAATTAAAAAATAAAATAAATAAATAAATGAAAAAAATCATAGGCTAACTGTAATGAACATTCCACTTCTCATCTAATATCTTACTTGTAGATTTCATTCTTCAGGTATTACTGGCAATGGCAAGAATCTGCTGGCTCAGAGAAAAGCCAGCGACAAGACCCACTCTAAGGGAGGCACCCAGAAAAACACAAGTGGGACAAAAGGATAGTCACTCTGAGCTGCTGCCCAAGATGGCATGGCGCTTCTGCCCTCTCCCTGAATCTGACGTTTAGATCAAGCCGTGAGCTCGGCACACTTGCCAGGTAATACTTTCCTTCTCCTGGGCACCTTTTAAAATAACTACTTAGAGTTTGAGCTCACAAAAGGTCCGTGACCTCAGGTGCGACCACCTTCTAAGAAACAGGTGCTTGCTGTCTATCTCCCACTTGCTTGTAAGCTTTCCTCCTCATTTTACCCCCCCCCCTTTTCTGGGATCTGAAAGTAACAAATTCCTTTGACTTGATTTCCTTTCCCCGAGTGGACTAAAGCTGCACATCCAATCAACATGGCTCTAGGTTTTCACTTCCCCAGAGTGGGAGCTCAGATGCTACAGAAGCTACCTGCCAACCCCATGTGGGTAGCTTGTGCCTCCCAATTCAGCAGGTCATAGTCTGCATATTTTAAACATACCAGCTATAGGCCCCAAACACAGTGGGTCATCAGACTGACTTTATTAAAGCGTGCACATTGTTCAAGCGCAAGCTGATACAGGCACCAGGTCCAGATTGGGCTGGTTTTGTTTCAAGTTCCCACATGAGTGATGTGGGGCTGTCCTGTTTCTCAGACTGTCGCAACAAAAAGTATTCCCACAGATCTACACTTTGCCCGTGAACCTGTCCCTGGTGTGAACTTACCAGAAAGCATAGCCTGGGCGATGTCCGTGTGCTGAGTGGACACTTCCATCTGCTCACACAGAAGGCACAGGTCCCTGAAGAGCCACGTCACTATGGCCTGTGTGTCAGCATGACTAGGGACAAAGCACACTGCTCACCATCACTCCATCATCTATCAGGCCCTTTTCTTCCACGTTCATTTCACTAGAAAGCCTGACCACTGAGAACCAGCTGGCAGCCATCTGAGCAATTCCCAGAAGTCACAACAGGGCCTGCGGTGTCAAGGAGACCACTACTGACATTAAAAATAATCACCATCAAAAAGCTTATTTGGGGGATCCCTGGATGGCGCAGCGGTTTGGCGCCTGCCTTTGGCTCAGGGCGCGATCCTGGAGACCCTGGATCGAATCCCACGTCGGGCTCCCGGTGCATGGAGCCTGCTTCTCCCTCTGCCTATGTCTCTGCCTCTTTCTCTCTCTCTCTCTCTGTGACTATCATAAAATAAATAAAAATTAAAAAAAAAAAAAGCTTATTTGGAGTAGCTAACTACTACTCAAGGGCGGGGGGGGGGGGGAGTTCAGTAAGAGTAAAATAACAAAACAGCAGCAGTTTCAGGACACCTGGGTGACTCAGAAGGTGAGCATCTGCCTTTGGCTCAGGTCATGAACCCACAGTCCTGGAACAGAGTTCCTCTCCCACTGCCTCTCCCCACTGCTCATGCTCTCTCAAATAAAATCTTTTAAGAAAAACTTTTTCGGGGATCCATGGGTGGCTCAGCAGTTTAGCACCTGCCTTTAACCCAGGGTGTGATCCTGGAGTCCCGGGATCGAGTCCCACTTTGGGCTCCCTGCATGGAGCCTGCTTCTCCCTCTGCCTGTGTCTCTGCCTCTCTCTGTCTCTCATGAATAAATAAATAAAATCTGGGATCCCTGGGTGGCGCAGCGGTTTAGCGCCTGCCTTTGGCCCAGGGCGCGATCCTGGAGACCCGGGATCGAATCCCACGTCGGGCTCCCGGTACACGGAGCCTGCTTCTCCCTCTGCCTGTGTCTCTGCCTCTCTCTCTCTCTCTCTCTCTCTCTCTCTCTCTCTCTTACTGTGTGCCTATCATAAAAAAAAATAAAAAATAAAAAAATAAATAAAATCCTAAAAAATTTTTTTTCTAGAAAGTTTATTTTTATTTTTGTTTTTTTTGTAAACTCTATACCCGACATTGGGTTTGAACTCACAACCCTGAAATCAAGAGTTCATGCTCTTCCAACTGAGCCAGGCAGGTGCCCCTTTTCAAATTTTTTTTTTTTAAGATTTTATTTATTTATGCATGAGAGACACAGAGAGAGGCAGAGACACAGGCAGAAGGAGAGCAGGCTCCAAGCAAGCCTGATATGGGACTCAAACCTGGGAATCCGGGATCACACTCTGAGCCAAAGGCAAGTGCTCAACCGCTGAGCCACTCAGGCATCCCTAATTATTTTTTTTTTAATTTTATTGATTGAGAGACAGAAATAGCACAAGCGGAGGGCGAGGCAAAGAGAGAGAGAAGCAGACTCCCTGCTGAGCAGAGGAGCCTGACCTGGGGCTCAATCTTAAGACCCTCAGACCATGACCCAACCCAAAGTTAGACACTTAATCAACTAAGCCACCCAGGTGCCTAATTTTTAAAAATATTTTATCATAGGGGCACCTGGCTGGCTCAGGTAGTATAAGCCAGCATATGACTCTTGATCTCAGGATTGTGAGTTCAAGCCCCAACACTGGGTGTGGAGATTACTTAAAAATAAAATCTTTAAAAAAAAAAAAAAAATGTATCCCATGATATCTTATACAAAAAATGTTTCAAGTTTGTGCATGACAAAGACTTGGATAATAATGTTCTCTTCAAATAATGAAGTAAGAGGGATGTCTGGGTGGCTCAGCGGTTGAGCATCTGCCTTCAGCTCAGGGTGTGATCCTGGAGTCCCGGGATCAAGTCCCACATCAGGCTCCCTGCATGGAGCCTCCTTCTCTCTCTGCCTATGTCTCTGCCTCTCTCTCTCTCTCATAAATAAAAATCTTAAAAATCTTTAAAAAGGAAGGAAGGAAGGAAGGAAGGGAGGGAGGGAGGGAGGGAGGGAGGGAGGGAGAGAGAGAGAGAGAGGAGAGAGAGAGAGAGAGAGAGAGAGAGAGAAAGAAAAGAAAAGAAAAGAAAAGAAAAGAAAAGAAAAGAAAAGAAAAGAAAAGAAAAAAAGAAATCTTTAAAAAAAAAAAAAAGGGATGCCTCAGTGGCTCAGCAGTTGGGCGTCTGCCTTCAGCTCAGGTCATGATCCTGGGATCCGGGATCGAGTCCCACATCGGGCTCCCTGTGAGGAGCCTGCTTCTCCCTCTGCCTGTGTCTCTGCCTCTCTCTCTCTCTCTGTCTGTGTCTTTCATGAATAAATAAATAAATCTTTAAAAAAAAAAAAGAAAAAGAAGGAAGAGAATCTCTCAGTGATTTTTGGCTTTGATATATAAATAAGTCATAATACACTAGATTACAAAAAAGAAGTCATATATTACTAAGGTAATGTTAAATTCTCACCGATACACTACCTTTCCAACAGCTCCTGGAGGCTCACAATGTTTTGTACATGAAGATGCCACACAGCTTCAAGCAACAAAAAATTCTGAAGAAAAAAATAGTACTATGAGTCCTTCATGCACACATTTTCCTACAAAATGTGGAGCCTGTACACTATTAAAAATTAAGTGGAGTAGGGGGAACCCTGGGTGGCTCAGCGGTTTAGTGCCTGCCATTGGCTCAGGGCGTGATCCTGGAGTCCTGGGATCAAGTCCCACGTCAGGCTCCCTGCATGGAGCCTGCTTCTCCCTCTGCCTGTCTGTCTGTCTGTCTCTCTCTGTCTCTCATGAATAAATAGATAAATAAAATCTTAAAAAAAAAAAATTAAGTGGAGTAACAAGCACAACCTAAGACACATACTTGATCGCTTTGACTAAAAACTCACCAAGCCTTCAGACAGACACTCATTAGCATCCTTCATCTCCCCACCTGCCAGCATCCTGCCCAGGCTCTAAGTTAACCTGCTTCTAGGACTTTCTCCACTGTGGCCGAAATGAGATTTCAAAATGTAAACTGGACATGTCAATCTCTTCTCTGGAACTCCATGGTGGCTTTTGGCAGTTTCCAGAACAAGTTCAGACTCTTGGACTCAGCACAGAAGCATTGTAACCATGTTTGTGTCTCTCTTATTCTCCTACCCCAGCGAGGTCCTCCCTTTGGAAGCTCGGACACCCTTGCCCCCAGGACATCTTGCTCAAGTCAGCTCTATGCCCCAATGCCTACTTTGTCCTGTTCTTCACCCAACAATATGGCACTCCTCCTTCACATGCCATGCGCCTGCCAGTACTCTTAAAAAGCCTCTTGTAGGGATCCCTGGGTGGCGCAGCGGTTTGGCGCCTGCCTTTGGCCCAGGGCGCGATCCTGGAGACCCAGGATCGAGTCCCACGTCGGGCTCCCGGTGCATGGAGCCTGCTTCTCCCTCTGCCTGTGTCTCTGCCTCTCTCTCTCTGTGTGTGTGACTATCATAAACAAAAAAAAAAAAAAGCCTCTTGTAGGACCCTCTGACCCCCTGCTCTTGCCTGGACACCTGTGGACCTTAAGTTCTTTCAACTATTCAAAAATCTATAAACCTACTGAATTCAAAATGCTTCATAGAAGAATAAAAATAATTTTTCATATTATAATTTTCTAGCTTACTACCATGGAAAATTATTCATAATCATACATAAGAAAGAACGTGGGCAGCCTTGGTGGCGCAGAGGTTTAGCGCCGCCTGCAGCCCAGGGCGTGATCCTGGAGACCCGAGATCGAGTCCCACGTCGGGCTCCATGCCTGGAGCCTGCTTCTCCCTCGGCCTGTGTCTCTGCCTCTCTCTCTCTGTCTCTCATGAATAAATAAGCAAAATCTTAAAAAAAAAAAAAAAAAAAAAAAAAAAAAGAAGAAGAAGAGAAGAACATGTTTCTGTGGTACATTCTAACAAATACTACTAATGATGGGTGAATATTGGCAAATATGGTAATTAAAGGTACTTCTTTACCACCCATAGAGGCATTTGCTAAATCCTTACCCCCCCCCCGACTCTGTGATTAATGAGATGCTTAAGAATCCCTAAGATCTCCCTCTGCCTGTGTCTCTGCCTCTCTCTCTCTCTGTGTCTCTCATGAATGAATAAAATCTTAAAAAAAAAAATTCTTAAGAACACACCAGGACCCTACTGTCTTTTCAAATCAACAGAACACGGCTTGAGAAACCTCTAGAGTCAGAATTACAATGTCAAATTTACCTGTACTTCCCGTAGTTCTTGACAGAAGGAGAAACGAGAGAACATACTATGTGCTAATAAATACTGAGCCACCTCCAGCACAGAAGACAGTTTCTTCTGAAAAGAGAGATTAAATCTTTAAAAAAAAAAAAAAAAGAAGCAAATACCTGAAACAACATTATAGAAATGTCCTATTTTCCCAAATAGCTTAAAGTAATGAGTAAGCACAGTTAGTTGATCACCGTGTCTTACCCTTTGCTCTGCGTTCAGCAGGACCCTGTGGGTGGGTTCACCATTAGAACTACAGATCTGCATGATGCTGGAGGCAACTGTCTGGCTGGACAGCACGGCCACTGGGACACCCAGTCTCGAGGCTTGATCTCGTAAAGCAGAGCCTTAAAGACAGAATAGACATTTTCCTTAAGAAGACATCCAGATGGCCAACATAGGTAAATATGCTCAACACCATTCATTCATCATCAGTGAAGTGCTATTCAAAGCACAAGGAGATGTCACCTCACAGCTTTCACAATGGCTAGTCTCAAAAACATACAAAGCAAACTGTTGGCAAGGATGTGGAAAAAAAGAACCCTTGTGGGATGTTGGTGGGAATGCAAACTGATACAGCCAATGTGGAAAACAGTATGGAAGTTTCTCAAAAATTACGGGTGCCTGGGTGGCTCCGTGGTGGAGCATCTGCCTTCAGCTCAGGGCGTGATCCCAGGGTCCTGGGATCAAGCCCCACATCGAGTTCCCTTCATGGAGCCTGCTTCTCCCTCTGCCTGTGCCTCTGCCTCTCCCTCTCTGTGTGTCTCTCATGAATAAATAAAATCTTTAATAAATAAATAAATAAAATCTTTAAAAAATTAAAAACAGAATTATTATATGATCCAGTAATTCTACTACCCAAACAAAAAACTAGTTCAAAAACATGTACATACTCCAATATTTATGGCAGCATTACTTTTTTTTTTAAAGATTTTATTTATTTATTCATGAGAAACACAGAGAGAGAGAATGGCAGAGACACAGGCAGAGGGAGAAGCAGGCCCCATGCAGGAAGCCTGATGTGGGACTTCATCCCTGGTCTCCAGGATCAGGCCCTGGGCTGAAGGCGGCGCTAAACCACTAAGCCACCCGGGCTGCCCTTAAGAGATATTTTAAACAAATTAATGAATTAGTTAAGATGTTTCTGAAATGATAGTCATTTCGTAATAAAAATGTGAATGGCCAGAAAATAACTTATTTCTTTGTTATCCCCAAAGAACTTCCCCAATCTCATATCCTCACATTGAAATATCCTGAAATATTCTTAAACCTAGAAATATCCTTCCGTCAATGAGGTACTTGTTATGTCCCATGTTTTTCCAAGGGACACTTTGGTTCCTCCTGCTTCTCAGTCCTACGTTGAGTCAAATATTGTTTGAGTCAAACACTGTTTTTAAATAACAACTTCAGGGGCAGCCCCGGTGGCGCAGTGGTTTAGCGCCGCATGCAGCCCGGGATGTGATCCTGGAGACCCAGGATCGAGTCCCACATCAGGCTTCCTGCATGGAGCCTGCTTCTCCCTCTGCCTGTGTCTCTGCCTCTCTCTTCGCTCTCTCTGAATGAATAAATAAATAAATCTTGAAAAATAAATAAATAAATAACAACTTCATAACACCCCAATCAAGTCATAAAAACATGACTTGCAATTCATAACTTGACACGGAGGTGGCAAGCCATGACCTGAGGCATGTAACTTTTTGCTTATTAAAAGCAAATCGGGATGCCTGGGTAGCTCAGAGGTTGAGCACCTGCCTTTGGCCCAGGTCATGATCCTGCGGTCCCAGGATCCAGTCCCACATCGGGCTCCCCGCCTGGAGCCTGCTTCTCCCTCTGCCTGTGTCTCTGCCTCTCTCTCTCTCTCTCTGTGTGTCTCTCATGAATAAATAAGTAAAACCTTTGAAAAGAATAAAATTGGGCAGCCCGGGTGGCTGAGCGGTTTAGTGCCGCCTTCAGCCCAGGGCGTGATCCTGGAGACCTGAGATCAAGTCCCACGTCAGGCTCCCTGCATGGAGCCTGCTCCTCCCTCTGCCTGTGTCTCTGCCTCTCTCTCTCTCTCTCCTCTCTGTGTAATAAAATAAATAAAATCTTTAAAAAAAATGTAAATTAAAAAAATAAAAAATAAAAAAGTAAAATAACATAAAAGCAAATCAAGCTCACCTTACATAAGCTCCTCCATAACTCCATTTATTAGGGAAAATGAGCTCTTACCTATGAATGAACTAGAAAGATTAGCAGAGGCCTCACGATCAACCAACTGATTGAGACACAGTGTTTTACATGCTGGACCTTCTACCTGGAAACCAAACACAAAGAACTCTCTTTGTAAAACTCAAGCTGTGTGAGCATAGGAACAATCTGTGTATAGAACATTTGCTCGCTGCACTATTCTCAAATATTTTGAGGTAGACATTTTTAAAGTGAAACTTACCAAAGTTTTTTGAGAAAAACTAAATTCACTCTGAACTTACTGATCTCTCCAAAGAGAAACGCTCCCCATCTCTTTCCCGCCCTGCCCTGCCAACATTTAACGGATGCTCCTACCAGATACTCCTAAGGCTTTTGTCAGGTGTCTCCACGAAGATGACGCTGTGGCAGGGGGGGCAAAACCCCCAACTGAAATCTGCTTTCAGAGGCCAAACCGGTGCCCTCTTACCTCAAGCAGAAGGTCGTCCAGGTTCAGGTGGCGTCTCAGGAGGTGCACGGCCGAGTCCTGCAGCCTGTGCCCCCTCCCGGGGCCGCGCAGCTGCCTCTCGACCCGTCCCGCTGGGGGGAAAGCAGTTCACAATAGGACAGCAGCCCTGAGGAGCCCTGTGCAGGGACGCGGCGACGTTCCCGCCCGGAGGTCATGCACCAGGGGACGCGAGAACCCGGAAAGCCCCACCCCACCCCCACCTAAGGCGCAGCTCATGGAACGACGGACCTGCAGGTCCCCAGGGTCCAGCTAAGGAGAGACGGAGGCACTGTCAACGGGACAGAGCACCCTGGCCCGTGGGGGTCCGGGGCAGGAAAGGGCACGTGGGGGGAAGCTGGGGACACCCAAGTGCGCTCTGGGTCAGCGAGCAGCGCCGCACGAACGCCAGGAATCCCGGGGGCCCAGCTGTCGTCCCGCGCTCCTGGACGCCTGGGCTCCACTCTCACGTGGAGCCACGAGCCCACCTCTCCTACCCCGCCCCCCCCCGGCGTCCGCTGCACCCTGCCGGGCCCCGCAGCGGGGGAGAGCCCGAGACCGCGGGACCAGGGGCCTGGCGCCCGGCGGCGGAGGCTGGGGCGGCGCGGGATCTCAGGGCCCGGCCCCAGCGCCCTCTTACCCAGCAGCTCGGCCCACGTCCTCCTGCGGCTTCCCGAACTGGAGCCCGACGCGGCATCCTGCGTCCGCAAGTCCGACATGGCGGGAACTCGGCATTCCCTCAGCTGCTCCGGGCAACCGGCCCGCGCTGCCTCCCCGTTGGCTGCGGCCCGCGCGGCCTCCCCATTGGCTGGCGCCTCCCAGGTCCCACCCCCTTGGCCGGAGGCCTCGCGCCGCGGCCATCTTGGGGGTGGCGTGTGGCGCCATGTTGGTGGTGGCAAAAGCCCCGGAGGAGGGTGCAGGAGACCTGCACAAAGGACAAGATTGCGGTTGGCGGTGTGGATGCAGAGTGGCGTCGAGTGCCAGAAAACCGGAATCCTTGTGCATTATTCCTGCGTATAAGGACTGAGAGTTGGTCATGAAGAAACAAGCCGACAAAGCTAGAACCGGGAAGAAGCTAAAACGCGCGGGCCGGGCCTGGTTCGTCTGTCGGGAGTCGGTTCGGTCCCCGCGGGGACTGCGGCAGGATGACCCTCCGCCCCTGCGGACACAGGCTGCGGCCAGCGACACTGACTTTAACTAAGTGTAAATGGTTGCAGGTGCCTCCCGAGAGCCACCCACCTGCCCAGGTGTCCCAGGTGTTGAGACTCCAGGCGGAGGGCCCTCTGCGGAGGTGGTGTCTTTTGTGGTGTCTTTCCCTCGATGCTGTTCCTGTAAGATTCATCCATGTTGTGCTGCATTTGGTTTGTTTTCATGGCTGTGTACTATTCCACTGGATACGTAAACATATGCGCATAAGTGATAACTTACAAAACCTATTTTCTGTGCATTATGATGTTTTCACATCTTAAAAAGCCTTTCTGGCTGGGGAGAGACTCGCTGACTTTAGAGATGACAAAAGGCCCACAGGAGCATGCCCTCTAGAAGACTATCCGCCCCAGAGCCAGAGCTCCTCCAACTGGCTCCAATCGCAGGAGGCAGTATTCTTCTGCCTAATCATCCATGGCCAGGTGCCAGGCAACTGAGGACCACTCCTGTAGCCCAGAGCCCACCCAAATTGTTCAGACTACCCTCTCCGAGCTGTTTACGCTGCCTAGCCTAGCCTTCCCTGAGAAAACCACAATAAAGACCTTGATGGAAAGCTTGCTGTCCCTCCTGTCTTATCTCTTGTGTCTGAGACTGGCGGGCATAATAAACTCTGTGGTGGGGGGGATTGGGGGGTTTTTTGGTCTGTTTTTTTAAGATTTTATTTATTCATGAGAGACAGAGAGAGGCAGAGACACAGGCAGACGGAGAAGCAGGCTCCCTGCAAGGAGCCCAATGTGGGACTCCATCCTGGATCCCAAGATCACGCCCTGAGCCGAAAGCAGATGCTCAACTGCTAAGCTACCCAGGTGTCCCAATAAACTTTGTTTTTAATTGAGTCTCTCTGTGTCTTCTCTTGTGACCATCTCACAAGATTTTTTTTTTCCCCAGCTAAGGCTAGGACAACTTAAGGTTAGGATTGATACCTCCAAGCCTGGTTGACACAGCATGGGGCTGGGGAGCCAGCAGTGGACAGAGGGCTGTAGGGTTTTCACATTGGTGAACCATGGGGTGGGGTGAGTAGACTAATGCTGGCTCATTCCTGTTGATAATGAATTGTAGAAGGTCAATCAAATAATGACTCAAGGCTTTCTTGTCACCTCAAATTAAAAGAGCACATCTAGATTTGTTTCAACAGACTTTACCATATATCATGTTTATGCATATATGAAAAAACATAAGTGAGAAATGCATTGAAGGTATCCTGAGCTCTAACTTCAGAAGAAGGGTGAATAAGAAAATATGCTCAGTTATCCTGAGTAGAAAAACCCAGTTCTTCCTTCCTATGTGAACCTTACCGCTGAGTATGTCTTCTGCTTCTGGTCCCCAAATGCGTGGGGATTTTAACCCCAAGCAATTCTCTGTGACACCAGCTGGGTGTACTACAACTGAACTCAGTTCTGGTTTTTTTGTTTGTTTGTTTGTTTGTTTTTAAGATTTATTTATTTATTTATGAAAGACACAGAGAGAAGGAGAGAGAGAGGCAGAGACACAGGAGGAGAGAGAAGCAGGCTCCATGCCGGGAGCCCAACGTGGGACTCAATCCTGGGTCTCCAGGATTGCGCCCTGGGCCAAAGGCAGGCGCCAAACCACTGAGCCACCCAGGGATCCCCCTGAACTCAGTTCTGACACTATTGATCGGGAGACAGTGTCAGATCCCATAGGTAAAGGACTCAGTCATGGCAGTCAGCCCCCCACTTCAGATGCCAGTTCCAAATAGTTGGTCCTCAGATCACCAACAATGTCTGTCAACAAATCAGGGGTTCCTCACGACCCCCTCCTCAGATTTCATTAATTTGCCAGAGTAGCTCACAGAAGTCAGGGAAACACATTTACCAGATTATTTTTTTAAATAATTTTAGCTTTTTTAAAAAAAGATTTTATTTATTTATTCATGAGAGACAGAGAGAGAGAGAGGCAGAGACACAGGCAGAGGGAGAAGCAGGCTCCATGCAGGGAGCCTGACGTGGGACTCGATCCTGGATCTCCAGGATCACGCCCTGGGCTAAAGGTGGCGTTAAACCGCTGGGCCACTGGGCTGCCCCATTTACCAGATTATTAAAGGCTGTGAAAGGAGCACCTGGGGGTTCAGTCAGTGAAGCATCTGCCTTCGACTCATGGCCTTGATCCTGGTGTCCTGGGATCCAGCCCCATGTTGGGCTCCCTACCCAGCAGGGAGTCTGCTTCTCCCTTTCCCTTGGACCCTAACTTGTGCTCACTCACTCTCTCAAATAAAATCTCTTAAAAAAAAAAAAAAGGCTGTAATAAAGGATACAGATAAGCAGCCAGATGAAGAGATACACAGGGTGAGGCCCAGGGGAGTTTAAGCACAGGCTATCTGCCTTCATGGAATTGGGGCGCATCATCCTCCAAGTATTCTGTTTGCCAGCCTGGAAACTCTCTGAACACTCAACTTTTGGGATTTTACAGAGGCTTCATGACAAAGGCATGATTGATCATTAGCTCCATTTCCAGCCCCTCTTCCCTCTCTGGAGGACAGGGACAGAGCCGAAAATTCCAAGCTTCTAATCATTACTTGGTCTTTCTGGTGACCAGCCAAGCCACCCGGGGACTCACACACAGAGTCACCTCATTAGAATCAAAGATGCTCCTGGTGTTCTTTTTTTTTTTTTAAGATTTTATTTATTTATTCATGAGAGACACAGAGAGAGGCAGAGACAGAGCAGAGGGAGAAGTAGGCTCCTTGAGGGGAGCCAGATGTGGAACTCGATCCCCAGACCCCAGGATCACAACCAGAGCCAGAGGCAGACACTCAACCACTGAGCCACCCAGGCATCCCACTCCTAGTGTTCTTATCACTTAGGAATGTACAAGGATTTCAGGAGCTCTGACCCGGGACCAGGGAGCAGAGCACAATATGTATTTTGTATCAACTCACAAAGGGTTAGAAGAGCTGAATCATCATTCAGCTGAGTCTCAACATCCAGATTTTCACAGAATATCATCCTGTCAGCCATAATTTGTGATGCAGGAGGCCCTCAAAGAGCGCCCACTGACAATTCCTGGATTGTCTTCCAAACCACTGGAAACCACCTACATTCACATTTGTGTGCAGGCTACAACCACCCTGCAGAACTATTGCCAGGTCCAACCCAGACATGGAGCTGTTCAATTTGGGATCAATGCCCACAAGACCCCATGGAGGGTGATAAAAGCTGGGCAACATGTGACTTGTGCTGTGGGTTACAAGACATGACCACAAATTCTCCTTCACCATCAAGAGGTGGGGTCTAGGGCAGCCCGGGGGGCTCAGCGGTTTAAAGGTCGCCATCAGCCCAGGGCGTGATCCTGGAGACCCAGAATCGAGTCCCACGTCGGGCTCCCTGCATGGATCCTGCTTCTCCCTCTGCTTGTGTCTCTGCCTCTCTCTCTCTCTCTCTCCCTCTCTCTGTGTGTCTCTCATGAATGAATAAATAAAATATTAAAAAAAAAGAAGAGGTGGGGTCTATTTCTCCCTCCTTTTGCTTTGAGTCAGCCAATGAGATGTGAGTAACATGATACAAATAGAACCTTTTTTTTTAAAGATTTTACTTATTTATACATAGAGACAGAGAGAGAGAGAGAGAGGCAGAGACACAGGTAGAGGGAGAAGTAGGCTCCACGCAGAGAGCTCAATGCGACGCGGGACTCCATCCAGGGTCCCCAGGATCACGCCCTGGGCCGCAGGCAGCGCTAAACGGCTGTGCCACTGGGGCTGCCCGATACAAATAGAACCTTGAAAGGAGCTTGTACTTCAGAGCTTGGAACTCTGAGTTCCCCAAGGAACACACCTGAGCCAGCCTGCCTGAGGACGAGGCCATGTGGAGGAAAGGTGGGAGTCCAGCCAACAGTCCCAGCCTTTGGTGGACAGCCTATCCACCACCAGAACCTGGGAATGAGGCCATCACAGGCTGTCCAGCTGCCAGTGAACTGCCAGTGATGTCAAAGTGGGAGTGAGGCTGGCTGAGACCAGAGGAACTTCCTCGGGCCCACAGAGTTATGGGCTAAGAGAATGGTTGCTTCTTTAAGTCACTAAGGCCTTGTGATGGTTTGTTACAGAGCAATAACTGATAAAGCCCTTTTTACATAGTCCTGAGAAGGGGCTGTCAATATCATTCCAAGTTACAGATAGGAAACAAGGCACTCACAGGTTAAGGGATTTGCCTAAGGACACATAGCTAATACATGGCAAAGTTAGGAAAAGAACTCATCTGTCTGATCCCAAACCTGAAGCTCTGCAACTAGAGACACAGGCACATGGGGCTGAAGCCCTATCATGTTAGGGGCCCAAGAACCTCCTGAGTTTGCACTCCAAAAAATTTCTCCTTCTCACCCTCTCTCCTCCCGAAGGCAAGGCATTGGGAGAAAGAGAGAACCCTGAGAAAGAACCCAAACCAGACTGGCTCCCTCCCTCCTGCATCTACCCTCCTCCCTCAGTGCCTGCATTTCCCTTTTCCTGGCTTCTGTCCATCATGTGGGGACTCTGCCCCTTTTCATGACAATGTCTATATGGAAAAGGCCAAG